ACAAAACCTGACTTCAGTCATTTCCGTGTGGGATGGTGTGCCTGACTTTGGTGGGAGGGGGGGGGGACAAGTAAGCTGCATGCGTTTGCCACAGTTCAGTTCCAACTAGCTTTTCTTAACTATGGTTAACCAGTATTATATGTGATTTGATCTCAGCCAAAGGACCAACTTCTGTTAATCCATAGATTTAAGTGAGCATCATCAGCGTGTAAATAGTGACACTCACGTTCTTTACTTATCATGTTTTCTCCCATTTTGTACCTGTGTTTCGGTAGCACTCTACCTTAGCTTTTCGCTTGCATTCTGGTCTTATATCACTGGTCATGTGGATGCGTAAGTATTGCATCGTATTGTATTTCACACGCGTCTAAATCCAGACTAGGTAAGTAGAAGACACCGACCAAAATGGAACCATAAAAGTACTAGATAGATGAATCGAAACACTGAAGACATAATGAATAACATAATAGTTGCAGGCGAGGTCTGCTTTAACATGTGAAAGCCATCTAGTACCCGTCTCCTTTGTGTGTTTTCAGGCGGTAGCAAAAGAAAGCAGTCGTTAACTGTGAACAACATGCACCGAACAATTAACTGTACTCATATTAGTAGTAGAGAATTTGAAATTTTATTCCCCCTGAAATGATACGATAGAAGAATACGAATAATTGTTTCTCTCACTCTCGCTCTCTGTACTGACTTCCTCACACTAGCGATGCAATCAAATCAGACCCGCAATGGTATTCCACTTTTTGGAGGTAAATCGATTCTTTTGAATGTAAATACTCAATTTGTCTACTAAAAATGTCTTTGCATGAGTGAAGTTAGAACTTTTCAAAAGAACTAATGGACACCGTTGTACAGTGATACGAATTTCTTTTTTTGCTTAGGACTTTTCAGTAAACAGACCAGTCATCAAACCGGATGAACGACTCTTTTAAAACCATTCGGATTCAGATCAATTGTAAATCCAACGATTCCTGAAAATCCTGAAAGTATGATGGCCTAGACTGTCCAAAACAATCATCAAAAGACTAGAGCTGTGTTTTTATCGATCTTTGGTGGGTCTCATGTTTTATTCTTTCGTCACATCTCAACGAGAGTGCCTTTTGGAAGTTTAATACAATTTACCAGCGCAGCAGAGGACATTCATGGCTTAGTTAGAAAGTCACAACTTTATCAACCTGTACATTTTGAAATTTTGTCCACACAAAAGATGCACTGGATCGATCACGTTCATTTTTCCCTGTTCATTGAACGATACACTGTTTACTGGGTGAAAATGTCATTGCTGAAGCCTTCAGAGAGAGAGAGAAAAGCAGATAAGAGAAAGCTTTGAGAACTGAAGAAACTCACTGAGGAAAGAATCTTGTGTAGTAGTTGTCGAGATGATTCAAAACCCGGTAAGGACGGCTGAACCCCAACTTCGGTACCAATTCTACTGAGGCGAGAACATTGTGAAAGAACAGAGACGGGAGGCATTTATATAGCCCCTGCATTGAATAGATCACTGGGAATAATGTTAAACAGTGAGTACGAAAAGCTCTTCTCATTTGGCGAACGGGTGAAGGAGTAAATTGAACCTCAGAGAATGGATTATTATCGCCCATATAGTTATTGGCTTCTTTTTCCATCTATATCCATTTTCTGTTCTTCACCTTGCGTGAGGCCTCCGAGGGGTTTCCAACTTTTCAAAAATACCACTGCAGTCATCCTTCTCCTGAATTAGGATTAATTGCGAGTCCCGGAAACAAGTGTTCAATGATACTAAACAGGTTTTATCTAAGGTAGTTAAACGACTTTATCCTTGTTCCGGTTTTTCTAAAGGTAATTATACTGTCAAACATCAGTCTTGATTTTTTAAGTTTCTCACTTATTTTGTTTGCTTTTCAAGTTACAAGTGAAAAGCTTGGAAGTGTCTTTCTTAGAAAGCGCCACACGAGTCGGACGACTGAACCGTGAAGAATGTGACGCGTTAGTGATGAGGTTACTGTCCCTGTTCCGTTAGTGATCAATCGTTCTACCTTGCAGGTTTCACTTGGGTGTGGAAAGACCAGAGAAGGTCACTGATGTAAGGGATTCACTTCTTGAGATAATACTGATTGAGGCCTGTGTTGCGCGTGTCACAAATATATTGCCACAGTGGGTGACGTTTCCTGCAAAGGGTGGCAAACGGATACTAGTGGCCAAACTAAGACCTCACATGGAAATATGAAAATCATAACTATTAGACTTGCCCATAAAGGTTGCATTTGGCGGGGATCTCCAGATCACTGCAATCATTGGTTAGGGACACTGAGTGATATGCCTATGTCGTGAACAGTGTCACTCGTGCAGTTTCTAGTTTGCTGTAACCATAGTCCACTAGATTTCTCCGTTTCTACTTTCACTCTGCTTACAAATTACAATCTCCCCTCTAGCCTTTCATCCAAATGGGCAACCAAAAGAATGCAGTCAAAATCGACGCACGAAAGCGCACAGTTAAATATTGTAACCACTGAAATGAACTGAACTGCACTGGGACAAAACCCAGTGTAAAGAGGTCAAATCATACTGGGGATAATGCTTGTCATTCTGTACGGGAAAGGCTTCATGATTCACTATGATTCAAAGAGAATTGCACAAAGTTACTAGTAAGCTAGTAGATCTCTCCCCATAACCTTTTCTGTTTGTCGCATCATTGCGGTACATCGGTTACAAATTCCATCATGAGCTACTACGTCGAGTTCCGGATGTATCTTACCGACAAGTCTCGTCTTCCAGACAAAAGCTCTTCCTCTTGAATAGCTGGGTAGCTTTGAAGTTACTTCAGAATCACTTCCTGCAATGTGATTCATAACTTCAGGAGAAAATACGTGCACTGGTTTAGCCGAAGCTCTGGTGGGACATTCTGGTCATATATGAGTTGGCTACTGTTGACTCATTCGTCAATTATCTTAAAATATGCGTCCACTGCCATGCCTATTTTAACTAACCACTTTCAATAACAATGACCACATAACAAGATTAGAGATAATACCAAATAAAAGGAAAATCTATTCCTAATTGACGATTACTTATCCTCGTACGTTCAGGGAATAAACTCATAAATAATTTTGTTTTGATTATAGACTGCAACCGTCAGTGTCACTCAGTATTTGTTCGAGAGTGAATCTATCGCATCTGGCTAATCACGTGTTCTCCGTAGTGCAACATTATAGTGATAGCAACATGACCACATTATATCAATTGCAGCAAAGCTGCTTTCGTGTAGAAATGGTTTGATACCTCGATTCAGGCGTAACGGGAGAAAATAGTGGATACCATAAAATCAGCCGGATACAGCTCAAATCATAGTGTTGAGTAAAGCAAGCAAGTCAAGTGGTCGTCGAAAGGCTAGTTAACAATGATTAATGTTGGATTTACGGCGAGTGTAATAGGCCAAAGGTCAGTTCAAAGTATCAGTCTACCGACATTGACGCTAATCATGAGAGACCACTCATTCACAGCTGTTTAACCAAATGGTCAATCTGATACCAGTAGACGGAGGGAACAGCGTTCAGCACCACTATCTACAGAGAAGTGAAAGAGTGGTTTTACAAATAGGAGTATTTAAACAACTTACAATATGAGCTTAAGCAAATTATCGTAATCAAGAACCCTGGTGCTAGGTAAAACTGTCCGTTCAGCAGGTACGAGTTGATAACGGGTTGTAGATTAAATAATCGAACAGCTGGAGCTTACTCTCAAACCACTCTTCATCCTCCCGTACATTTCATTGGCTGTCCAAGCAACTCTTACTGATTCAAAGATGCAAAATTCTTGCAGTGGCCATCTGCACCTTGTCCCCCCCAAGCTTTTCTTAACCTCAGAACCAAGGGCACATAACCAGTGAGTGCTACCTCTTATCTAACTTGAATACTAACACCAGAGAATCAATTTAAGTTCGAATTTACCCTGCTGTAGCTCATGACACGTGGATCGGTTCTGCTGAACTTGGAACGTATTTTAACCTTCCAACATCAACCCTAAGAACAAGTTTTCTATAGTGAATTGAGTTACGTTGTATGACTAATGAAAAGATGGAAAAGCTAAACATAATATATGTGATCGATTGGTCTCTGAAACGACAATGTATCCGATTTCATGGTTTTTGGCTACTCCAAAATTGATGGGGGTATTGCTTGCATCAGCTTGATACAAACAGCGGGAAAGAATAGAGGAACATACAAAAAATGATACATCACTAATTTTATGGTTTAAATTTTCTCTACAGTCTTTCTGTTTCGTTTGGTTTATCGTACTTAAGCTATCCTCATCGGTAAACAGTATTTATAGCGATGCACGGAAACCAATTAGGAATGAGAACACTCGTCATGAAATAAACTGGTCGCCAAAAGCATATATTGATGCAAAATAAAGTATTTGCATATATTACTGAGGCATTGGAAAAATTACAATATTCTTGTGAAGGTATTATGTACACGATTTTAAAATTAAAAAAATCGATAAGATTTGTATGGAATAGCCGAACTGTTTCATGTCTTTAATGAAAAAATCAAGATAGAAAATAGGATTGTTGCATTGAGAACAATTTATCCATTGCAGGGGGCGGTGGAGGAGGTGGACCTGATGGTGGTGTTGGTAATAGTAGATCAGCGACCGATACATTTGGTGATGCATGGCGCATCTGTTCAAAACATGGGAACAAAGGATTTGTGTAAAATGGGCCGGCCAGTAATGGCACACCAGGGAGCAGGCGAACGGTCATTGGTTGTGTGCAGTTGATACTGTTAGAGTTCACCAATTCCGCGTTCGTGGTGCTCGTGTTCTGCATGCCAGAGCCCGGGGGGAAT